CGATTAAAAATCATTTATTATTATTAATTCGCGCGACTTACCTGCTTGTTATTTGAAAACTACATTATATCTTGTTATGTCAAAAAATGTTAATGTAAAATGCTATATTTTTAAAGTGATGCATGTTCAATAATGTTTTTATAATGAAGTTAAATTTTATGTTACATTGTTAATTATAAAAAAAATTAAAAAAAATCGCCAAGGGAATCAACTGAATATGCCAAATCTCAGGATTCACTCTAACTTTTATGAAAATTCCTTATTTAATAATTTTCAAGGCAAGGAAGTGAAGGAAAGGAAATGATAATACAATTATTTCTTTGCATATTATGTGATTTTATTCAGTGTTTTTTTTTTTTTGGTAATTTTACTAATTGTGGTTTAATCTAACGTGCTGATTAACATTATTATTTCGCATTTTTATCCCTGATCAAACTTTAATGCGGTGTAGGTGTTTTTATTGGTGACCAATTCAAAAGTAAGTTACATCGGGCTACATTGTTATGTTCTTAATATTGGAAAAATTTCCATGTGAATGGATTTTACTATAGTGACATAAGTTTACCTAAAAATCTACTGGCAAATTTTCATTCAACAGTGGAATATACAAGCTCATAAAAAGCTCATAACTCTAGCATGTCTACAGAGGATTTGTCATTATTTTATTATTTCATGTTTTTTTTATTGAAGAGAATTCTACCATAACATCTATAAAATTCCTACTACTGGGCACAGGCCTTATATTTCGCAGTAGGTAATTCAGATCAGGAGGTTCTAACCTAACTGCTCCAGTGTATTCCACTGATCAATTACTATATTGATCCGAGATCACAATATACTTAATATAGGCGAAGATCACACGTTGCTGTCGGTGCACTTCCGTTATTGTACGCAGAACCTAACATTTTATTCTATACTGAACTTAGATTTCGAGCTTTAGTTGTGTAACCAACGCCTTATATACATTATACTTGTCGGGTTTTCAGGTATGAATTCTCCCCAACATATCAAATCAATTTGTTGAAAAAAAAAATCGAGAGACCGGATCGAGGTTATGATTCGAGAAGTAATGACCAAAATCAAGTAGGACATTTATCGCGTGTAGCATCGCGTCGCATTGCATCGTGTCGTGTCGAGTCGTGTCACGTCGTATTCAAGCAGGACACTCCGGTAGGAAGCTTAGGTCGTAGTAGTAATTTCCATACAGTCCAAAGCTCCTAGGTAGCATTTTGCAACACCAGCCATATAGCCGCTTTACTGAAAGAATGGATTTGCGCCTTAATTAAGCAGCTGTCCCGGAGTGAAATACCGCCGCACCTTTGTGAGGATACCTGACTGCTGTGCAGCTGCGTTGACAGTGGACTCAACCAATCACCCAACCAAATTACTGATATTCCTAAAAGTAGAAAAATTTACGAAGAGTTAAAAATGTGAAAAACATTAAGCAACAAAACCATTAAGGCATTATTTTGTCTATTTATAAACCAATAAAATCTTAATTAAAACTTAATTTCCCAATTAAATGTCATTAAGTAACAATAAACTACATCTCCGTACCTAGCGACATCTGGTGAACGACAGGTTATTAGGCATCATTGTGTACCGCTTTTGATAAGTATTTTTATTAAATAGATTATAATACTTCAGGGGTATCCTATATAAATTTGTAGAAAAAATTCTGCCCTTGATGGTTGCTTATGAGAGAAGGCTTGCCATATTTGCTACGCTTTGCGAGCGGGCCACGCAGTTGTTTATTGTACTATTACTGTTATCAGAAAAATGCTGCTGCCGCATGTTATGACACCTTCGGGAAAATATGTGATAGTGGATATTCTTAAATATATACATACTTCTTGTTTGTAAGGTCAACGCTGAAATAAAAGAAGTACCTCATAGGATTACAGATTCATTGGAATCTTGGCATAAAATAATTTAAAATGAAGTTAAAGACAAACTTCCACGTTTATGGAATTCTTGAAAAAAACGTCCAGTTCTGCGATAACACATCTATAGTAGCAAAGAAATTTATAAAACGATTGCAAATGTACATTAAAAGTGACGAATTTATTCAGTATATCAAATTACGTTTACTCAATAATGAAATTAGTGTTGGTAATTGCCTGGATATATTACAGAATTTATAAATTACGCAATAATATTATTTAAAACGAGGAAGTTTAAATGCAATTCGTAATGCGTGGACTTTAACAGGCCGCAACGGTAATTTTGTGGTTATTAAAAATTAATTAATAATTAATGTGTATGTGTTAACTGTACTTGGAGTAAAAAGTCTGAAGAACAAATAAAATTGAATTCCGATTGTATATAAATGAACACGCGTTTCCGAGTATCAAACCTAGGATGTGTAAATGGAATAACCCGTAAAAAATATTTTTTGATTAAAATCGGACTTCAAAGGACTCAAATAAATAAAATAATTTCACATCCTAAAGCCTTAATTCTTCATACACTATGTATTAGCATCAAATTTGGAATATGAAATATTTTTTTAGTTTTTTGAAGTCGGTTTTTGTTTTTTTTTTTTAAATTTTACTTTTCTTAATAATTAGTATCCTAAAACCAAAAACTATTCACAGCTACCACATGGAGCTGTGTTCTTGTGATTAAATTGAACGGACGACCATCATCATTACAATTTTTTTCAGGCAAAATGTCGTGCATAGTGACCGTCGCACAAGGGACACTTGAGGGTCAAGTCCGTACAACCTATAGCGGGAAGAAGTATTACAGTTTTGAAGGCATTCCATATGCAAAACCTCCTGTCGGGAGATTAAGATTTAGGGTAAGATAGAAGAAGTTAAATACAAATAAGTTTTGGCTAAATGCTGTATTTGTGTACACTTAATCGATTTTTATATTTTAAAATTGCACAATATATTTTCTGGCAAACTGCGTTTTAAACGGTAAAAACATTTCCTTACTATTTAGTAAGTAATTTAATTAAAAAATGTGCAAACACTGAATTTCAATACATTGATTAAAGGAAAGCAAAAACATTTAATGGACATAACAAACGTTAGCTTGTATGTAATAACTCAAATGGATAATATTTAAATATAGCAATTAACAAAATTATACAATGGAAATTAGTATGTAGCGGGAATTAGGTACACTAACATTTTGTCTAAACCAGCATGACTTTCTAGTAACGTTAACACTAAAACAAAAAAAAAACGACATCAACGTTAGTCGTTGAGTCATGTGCTTTAACGTTGAAAATGTCATTCATATTTATAATAAACAACCCTTTTCCAGCCTTGTTAATCGTATAAGAATATTTTGTTTAAATATTTTTTCGGTGTCCATTTTGCGGTCTAGGAAGCTGATTAATACGCTTTTTTATAATAGTTTCACCTAAAATTATTTAATTTAGTTTTTGCCACATCCGCTCGTCTGAATAAAGGGAAACTTTTGCTGAGTCATTGAGAAATGATGGCAATACAATTATTTTATGACTGACCTAGTATTCTCACTAGGATAATTACAGTGCATTTCCGCCATCTATCGGAAGCCCTAGAAATCTGGCATTGGCAGACATTTTCCAGTCTTTCCCTACCCGCTCGGCGAAATGGGGGAAAAGGAATCACCTTATATCAACACTACACGGCTATATAATCCATAAACTTGGGGCACTATATTATCTCCCATGCAGTTAAAACAATACGCTTCTTATGTTATCGTCGACGGTCCAAATCAGGCAGATCATCTTTTTCTTGTTTTTGAATCGAATCGAAAACACGAATTTGATCACCAACGGAACATAAAATCTAGGCCGAGCACCCAGCTCCTGAGCTTCCACTGATTTTTAAATTTTTAACATAAACATATTATACTACTGCGTATGGACCGGGTCATTAAACAAACAAAATGGCACCGACTTGTTGGTGCGAAAATGTTTATGGAGCACCAATGCGAGCTCATATGCGTGCCGTGCGTCCGTGCAATGTTTCCACTTGTAGATATTTTAAACTATTTTAGGGTAAATCTACTAATATAGGTAGGGCTTTAGGCGTTTATTTAAGTTAACAGGGTTTAGAACAATTTGGGGTGAAATTACAGGTAACCCACATATACTCACCCAATGTAATTTTTTTAAAGAATTATCGAAGGGGATAGGGTCAAAAGAGCTAGAAAAGTGTAGAATGAAGAAGTTTTTTATTTTGTATAATATCGGCATAATTGGCACCAACTGGCGCAGGGAGTCGAAGGATCGCGACAAGTGGAGGAATATTGTGGAGGAGGCTAAGGCCCACAAAGGGCTGTAGCGCCACACGTATGATAGATAATGGTATAACTTTTTACTTAGTTACATATTCATTAAGTGTTAATTTAAAAATAAAAACGTCTTCGTCATTACAAAACTCAAGAGTTTTACTCGTAAAATGATATTCAAAATTTGCAAGGATGTGGTTCTTTAAAATATTCAAAATAAGGTGCAATAAATAAGGCTATTAAGATTTTTTTACGAAAATTTAGATACAGATTCTAGGGTGAAACCGAAATCATAAGTGGAAACACTGGTTCCGTGGTAGTTCATGAGCTCAGAGAAAAATTTTTGTTCGTACGACCATATCTTCTCATTTATATCGATACTTTTTAGTTTTTGTAATGTAATATAATGTAATGCTCATTTTTCCAGGATCCACAAGAACCGGATAGTTGGACAGGCAGGCAAGCCAGGGAATAAATGTGTTCAAATAAATCCATATTCTCCAACAAATTTGATTGGATGTGAAGACTGTCTGTATTTAAATGTATACACACCAAGCTTGCCTGTAGAAAAATTGGAAAAACTGCCGGTTTTATTTTTTATACACGGTGGCAGGTTTCTATTTGGTTATGGCGATTATTACCAGCCAGATTATTTGATAAGACATAATGTCATCTTGGTAACGATTAACTATAGATTAAATATATTTGGATTTCTATGTTTAAATATACCAGAAGTCCCAGGAAATGCTGGACTTAAAGATACCATAATGGCGTTAAAATGGGTAAAATATAATATTAAATATTTTAATGGCGACGAAAATAATGTTACTGCTTTTGGTGAAAGCGCGGGTGCGGGGCTTGTGACATCATACTTAACCTCTAAAATGGCGGATAACCTGTGTCACAAAATAATTTCACAGTCGGGAAATTTACTCTCAGATTTATACATTGTGAAAGAAGATCAGATTGCAAAAGCAAGATGTTTGACATCAATAATGGGGAAAGAAATATCCGATGTTAGAGAAATGTATGAACGTTTATTAACAGCGCCTGTTGAAGAACTAACGGCTATAATTAACGCTTGCTCAAGACCCGTTGTAGAGAACAAATTTGAAGGCGTTAAACAGTTTTTCGACGAGGATCCGATCGTGACAATGCGTGAAAACCGTTTTAAAAAGCTACCAGTTGTCGTCACACTAAATTCACATGAAAGCGCACTCTTTTTAGAAAAAGACGAACATGGCAACACGGTTTATGCAAAGAACTTCCAGTATTTTATACCTCGCTGTTTGGACGTTCAAAATGATTCTCCGAGGGCTTTAAAATTTGCTAAGAAACTCCGCGATTTCTATTTCGACGGTAAAGATGTAACAGATGAAGAAAAATATCTTGATTTCATTTCAGATGCTCACTTTGCTAGAGATACAGTTATGTTCATTGAATATTTATCAAAATTTAACAAAGATACTTATTTCTGTTTATTTTCTTACTCTGGCAATATGAACACGAGCTTGATGCGGAAACTAGGATTCAAGGGAGCGACACATGGCGACTTAATACAATACGTGTTCTATAGAAAAAATAAGGCCGCAAAATGTACAGAAAAAGACCAAAAAATTGTTGATTTTCTGTCTGAGGCTTGGTGTAATTTCGCTATAAATGGGTAAGAATTTTTAAATGGCAACATACTATTTAATTTTAATTCTTTACATTACGATTTTTGTTTAAGTTTATACAAACAATTTTTAATAAAGAAATACCACAGTTTCGTGTTTTAATGAGTCCAATATTGCTGCGCACACTTCTGATATGATGGAAGAAATACTCTGTTTTGACACTTTAAATACATACTTGAGGTTTAGATATGAATCCCCTATGTTGTAATGTAATGTTATGGCTAAACATTCTGTAACTGATATGCAATTTCTGAATATAGTATCTTGTTTTCTTATTTTCGACCCCACTTTAATAATTAAAAATTCTATGTATATACTGGACATCCGAAGAAATTTTTTAATATTCCTATTATCACGCAATTCTCCATAGAGTGTATTTTCACAAATAAGATTATTCATCATCGTTTCTCCATAGTACCTATTTTTCTCTAGTCAATAAACCAGGACGAAGTTAGTATCTACGTTTTTTCTTTTGTTATTTAAAAGTACAACAGTCGCTGCAGTAGCTAGCAAAACGTTCTCTCGTGTCGACATTATGAATGTAGAACGACAATCGGCAACGTCATATAACATTGTTTAATAACTTTGTTATTCTAATGTGTCCAGTATAGTTATATGTTGCAATACTAAAATACAATGTAACATAATGTGGACGTGTTATAAAACACAAGTTACACAACATGTTACTTAATCTGTACGCACCCTTACGCATTCAATATAGACGTGAAATTTTATGCCCTCGAAGAATCTTCCCCTCACCATTTGGTCTACATGTAACTGATTGTAAGTTTTCAATTGTTTTAGTAAACCTACTTGGCGAGACCAGCGAATACAGTGGCTGCCTTACGACCATAGAAATAGATGGTGCCTGCATGTGGATGAGGAACTTCAGCTGGTTACTAATCCAATTTGGAAAAGATATTCGATATGGGCAGACTTAATGCGCGAGAGGTGCAAATTGTAAGAGGAGAAAGTGACAAGAAAATTGTATTTGACAGTTGGTGAATGTTGTCACTGTCGAAAAGTACGTGGTAAAATGGAACAAAAGATACAACCCCAAGAGTGATAGAGTACACAATAGGCTATGTCCTGTTTTCACTTTTTGTTGAAACAAATCTGGGTGTGGTAGAATGCATATTTTCGAATACTCACAGTGAATTTTAAGTAAGGGAAGAAAGGTTTGTTAACGCCAAAAGAAGTACTTATTCTCATATTTTATTTAAGTTTTTTTTTTTACTAAACACAGATTTGTTTGTGTTTTTAAGATACTATATTTTACACGCCAGAAGTTAAAGGTAGGAACGTATTGTAATGTAGCTAATAAGTAGAATTTTAAAAACAAATAATTACTGACATATTTTCGATTGAATAAACGAGCTGTGAATTTTGTGTCATTTCAAATGTTTCTTTTTTAATAACCTGTAGATTGTTAAGGCAAACAAGCGTTTATTTTATATTTTGTAATAAATATTATGTGTTTTATATATTAATGTGCAGTTTGTAAGTGAAATACGGCTTGTTTATGTTCAATTTTTATTATGTTTACCGGGTGTTTGTGAAACGCTCACGGAAACGAAGATAGCCGATGGTACTAAAGATATTTTCATACGTCGTGTGAGAGTTGTTGGAAGTGGACGTGTACATCTTTTTTCTAAATAATTCCTTAATAGTGACTAATTAAAATTGAACTTTGTGACTACCCAGTTAAGAGTTTTTACTGTGCGGTGTAACATTATTACTCATCAGTGTTAATACTTGTGTTTATCTCGTTCTTGCATCGCATTTGTGAGTTGCAACTGAAGTCCCCTCTACAATAGCGCTGTCCCAAGTTACAGAGAACTCCGCCTAAGTGCCCATCAAACCCAGACATAAGTCTAACTACATCGGATAATAATTATGTAAATACACGTAAGCGTTTCACTGGAGGGTATGACTCGGAATTTCTGTCCACACTGATTGACGAACATTTTAATACATTAGACGTAAAAATTAAGGAAAATATTACAAATATAGTTAATCGTCGAGATTTCCAACGAATTGGATAAAATATCCCACTCATTATCAAGCCTAAACACAACCATATCTGAGCTGCGAGATGAGAACATTAATTTAAAACAATGTATTACGGATTTAAATAATCATCTGTCGGAGGTCGATACTACTTTATCCGATCTTAATGAGCAGTCAATATCGTTTGATACACGGCTTAAGTCCGCAGAAAGTCAAGTCTCTAAAGACAACTATTTATCTAACAAATTAGAGGTTGTGGAGACCAGACTGGCTGCAATGGAGCAACAGGCACGTGATTGTAACATTGAAATATCAAATTTGCCTGAGCGCCGTGGAGAAAATCTTGTTACAGTTATTATTAATATTGGCGTGCTAATAAACCAGCAAATCCAACCATTGACATAATTTTGGCCCATCGGGTTCCTCATGTTGGTGAAAACGATAAACGACCTAAAAATGCCATAATAAAATTTAAGTCCAAAATTTTGCGTGATAATTTTGTAGCTTCGTACCGTGCCAAAAAAAGGCTTAACTTCAGATCAGTTGTCTATTACAGGATCATCGAATAAAATATATATAAATGAACATCTAACCTTAAAAAATAAACAGATTTTTCGAGAATCCCGTGAAAAGGCCAAAACATGTAACTACAAATATGTTTGGTACAAGAATGGTACAGTTTTGGTACGAAAAACTGACTCATCTCCTGTCTTACCAATACGCTCACTACAGGATCTTAAAAAAATTAAGCTTTAGAACAATTTGTAATAGAAATTTGATATCAATTTTATTTTTACTTTCTTATCGTTTATTTTTATTACTACATTTTTGTACTGATATATGGGGGATACTGATATATGAGCATGTTGTTTGCACATTTACTTCTACAAAAAAGTCAGTAACTTATTTTCTAGACTATTTTATAAAACTATACTTTAAAATATACTATGTATTATGCAACAAAATTTTAAATTGTCTAATACTTTATTGTTATACACAAAACATTAACATAATTAGGATATTTTTAGTCATTAATCATTATGCACAAATACGGCGCAATGATAAAAGAAATTTTAAAAATTCATCTCATCTAATTAATTTAAAATGTGTATCGAAAATTAATCTTATTTTTTTTCACAATATTTCTAATGAAATACTGAATAAATTATGAACTTTTATTTAATGGATTCCGAAATAAAAAACATATCAATTTACTATCAGAACTGTCGAGGCTTAAGTTATAAGTTGCACACTCTTTTTATGAATATTTTACTTCACGTTATGACATAATAATATTGACAGAAACTTGGCTTCATAGTGGCATTTATGACAACGAATTAATAGATCAACGTTACAGAGTATTTCGCAGCGATCGGAATCGGACGGCGACCAGCCGTAAAGACGGCGGTGGCGTATTAGTAGCGGTGCGCAGCTCATTTGCTGCCGTGCCATACGGCCTGCCCTCCGCGCCTCACGCTCCCCCCGAGCCGCCCTCCTATTGTTGACCATACATTGATACTTATGGGTTCGGGTTCTAATAAGCTTCTGTTATGCGCATCATATATTCCACCCGATTTAAATAACGAAGTATATACCTTACTTACCTAGATTACATATTATGTTATGTCATGCAATTATCGTTAAATTTTTAATGGTGGGAGACTTTAACTTACCCACAATTAATTGGCTTCCTAAAGATAATTATCTAGAATCTGCCTTTTATAGTAACGCATGTTTATCTTCTAGGCACTTAATTAATTTTATAGCTTTGACGGACAGCTTCCAATTTAATCACTTTAGAAACTTAAATGACCGCACCTTAGATTTATTTATATCAAATATTTTAGAATGTAAAATTATGGATGCTCCTTATAATTTGTTACCATTGGATTGTCTTCATCCTACTTTTTATGCTTTAGTGCCTTTTATGCATGATAACAAGTCTATGCCAAAGATTTCACGAAGACAGTTTTGTTTTCGAAATGCTGACTACTCAGTCATAAATAATGAACTTTCCAAGGTACCATGGGACGAAATGTTCTCAGGTAAATCTGCTGAAGAGGCTGTGATAGATTTTTACGAAATACTCTATGGTTTTATTAAAAAGTTCGTACCTACAAAAATCTTAAAACAATCTTCATTCCCTGTTTGGTTTAACTCCACTCTGATTCACACTTCACATTCACATTCAAACGTAAAGAGCGTGCCTGGATCAAGTGGAAAAAATATGAAAACTCTTATGATTATAACGAATTCTCTAGGCTTAGAAAGTACTTTAATAAAGAGTGTGCAATGAGATATAAAAACTACATGTCGTCAATTCAAAATAATATTAAAAAAGATATAAAGCATTTCTGGACATATATATCAAAGCGTAGTAGTATTCCTGACAATGTTTACTATAGTGATAATAATGCCACTAATCCTACAGAAGCATGTACCCTATTTTCAATGTTTTTTCACTCAACCTTTGAAGCATCTTCAGTTTCAGCTGAATATGATATTGATAGTATCGACTTTACACAATGCCCTGATTCACACATTAATTTAACATCTATCATACTATCAGAGGATGAAGTTCTTAAAGAGTTACAGTCGTTAAATACAAACAAGTGTATGGGGCCCGATAATATATCACCAGTATTTCTGAAAAATACAGCAGTTAATATTGTTAAACCGCTGTCTTTCCCTTTTTAATAAATGTTTAAGTGAAGGTATATGTCCTAACATATGGAAAGCCGCTAGAATCGTGCCTGTATATAAGTATGGTTCAAAACGAAATGTTGAGAACTACCATCCTATTTCTATTTTGTCAGCTGTGTCGTAGCTCTTCGAACGATTCATTTTTAATTCTATATATCCATTACTGCATAATTTAATCATACCCGAACAACACGGTTTTGTAAGACGACGATCAACTACTACCAATTTATTAATATATCTAACGGACTTATTCGAAAATTTAGACTCAAATCATCAAAGTGACTGTATTTATACAGACTTTCGTAAAGCCTTTGACAGAGTTGATCACAAAATCCTACTTGATAAAATTGCTTTCAACGGTATACGTTGCAATCTTTGGCGGTGGTTTAAATCATACGTAACTAACCGCACGCAAAAGGTTGTTATTAATGGTTACGAATCAGAGTCTGTGTCTGTCACCTCTGGGGTACCTCAAGGATCTATATTGGGACCACTATTATTTATACTTTTTATTAATGATATTGACTCCTGTTTTCAGCACAGTAACTTTTTACTATATGCTGACGACCTTAAAATTTATCGTACCATTTGTGACAATGATGATCACTTCAGACTCCAGGATGACTTGGACCGCTTTTCTGTTTATTGTATAAAAAATAAATTAAGTCTTAGTATGTAATAAGTGCAAAATGTTAACTGTCACTAAGAAAATTAATTTTAATCAACAATCATATTCCCTGTGCAGCTCTACTATTGAAAAAGTACATTCTATCTGTGACCTCGGCAATACCATTGACAGTAAATTTACACTCGATACACATGTTGAATAAATATGTAATAAAGCTCTTAAAATGTTTGGGTTTGTAATGAGAGCCTGTAAGGATTTCACCAACCCAGCAACATATATCTTTTTGTATAAGGCACTGATACGCTCTCAGTTGGAATACGCTGTTGCTTTGTGGAATCCTTTTTATAATGTCTATACCGATCAGATTGAGAGGGTACAAAAAAAAGTTTTTTAAGTCAATGTTCTATAGATGTAAGCATAAATATTGTTCGTATAATGCTATATTAAATAAATACAAAATGTTAACTTTAAAGCTCAGACGACAACAATTAGTAGCAATGTTATTATTTGACCTTTGCCATAATAGATATGATTGTATTCCTGTAACAAATAAATTGCGATATCGTGTACCTACTCGATCACATGTAAGATCAACATGCTCCCGTCAAATATTTGCCCTTCCCTTGTGTAGAACCAATGCTGGCAAAAGAGCGCCGTTGTATCGCTTAATGCAAAATTACAATGATCACTTTTGGGACATTGACATTTTTAATAACAGTGGTAACTCCTATAGAAGCAAAGTGATTAATAAGCTTGGTGGCGCCACGTGTTTAAGGCTGCCGAAGTCTAGTTCCCCGGTCGAACCTTAAACCTATTGCGCGAATTATTAATCTAAGTGGACTGTATCTACTAATGCTTCTACACTTGTATATGCGGTACAATGCACTCGCTCTTCCCAAAAAAACGAACTATTATGCCAAATCGATGAAAGGAATCCTGCTTGATTAGGAAAACACAAAATTGGAGCGGGTTAAAACTACTATATCAAGCAGGAAAATACTATTAGGAAAATGTTGACTCACCGGGATGTTTCTCCTGTGCAGTCGAGCACTATAACTGCGACTTCTGGAACACTCCGGAGAGAGGCGGTGTGCGACTATATCTCACACGAGGTGAGGCGGTTTCCTGGAGCTCGACTGCTTCCAGGCTAAAGCGGTTTCTACTAGATGTGTTTCCAACAACGAGCGCGGCGGGAAGAGGAGCTCTTTAGGACACTATTATCCTAGGCGGTGTGGTTTCAACGGCGAGCGCGGCGGGAAGAGGCCACGCGTCGGTCGCGCGTGTCTTATATATCCTTGGTTCCGATGATTACGTGATGTTCTAGAATCATCTTTCCCCTCCCACCCCACCACCCCGATGTGTCGATAGGAGGGTACGAATGATATCGTTTTGGAAAGGGATAACCGATTTGGCAGCCTACCGTCAAATAAAATAAATACGAATGGTTTTCCGCGCAACCAAAGCTTATGAGTCGTGTTAACTAAAAACTAAATAAAATATATCAAAACATTATTTAAATTATATAATTTTTGAAATCAAAACTAAAATGTGAACAGGTTTTTTTCATTTTGTGATATTGCATATTATGTAGTAAGTCCTCATTCACATCTCTCTCTTTTGTAATTTATCGTATAAATTATTATCTGAGGCTGGTGGTGTTGGCTTCACTAAACTCACTACGTAACTAACCGCACACAAAAGGTTGTTATTACTTTGTTCGTTTCCACGCGAACTACGATACGGGCTGTACCTAGTAACACGGTTGAAGGAGACTGTGTTCCCACATTCAACAATGAGCACAGAGCGACGTCACCAGGTCGACGGCTAGAATCGTCGACTTTAGTAGGTGTGATTTCCTTATCCGATTTACTTGACGCGGGTATGTTGCCGTTTTCGAAATATAACAACGTGTGATGTCTGCTGTCGCACTTGTTACACACGGAGCTAGAATTGCATTTAGCAACTAAATGTCTATCGCTTAGACAATTCAAACATAATTTGTTCGTCTTTACTATTCTACAACGTTCGCTGGGTGAATGTCTACGAAAGGTCGCACACTTATATAAATTACCGT